GATGAGACGCCAGGCTGAACCAGGGGAAAGCTGGCACTGTTAGTGAGTGTCCCCAACTAGTACTCCACCTTTATCTGTGGCAGCTATAAATGTTTAGGACCCATCAGAGTCCTAAGAAAATGAGAGTAACTATCTCTGGCATCATCCACATTTCCGAACCTCTTTCCAATAGCTTTTCCCTTTTTCTGTAATGTAGGCAGCATCCCCCTATTGTATTTTGGTTGCCCAAGATGCTTGATTCTTTTGAGTGTTTAGTTGCATTTCTTAAAATGAGATCAGACCAACCCTTGATTCACATGAAAGCTGTAATGACACAACAAAGAGAAGGCGACAGTTTTAAAGTATAATTGTCAGCTGACTGTGTATTTTATATTTGGTTCATAGAATATATCTAGACATGGGGAAAGTCTTCTATTTGGTAATTTAGTTAAAATGTAAATGTTATATATCACAGCAGATGTTGGTATGTTTTGGAGTGTGCTTCCATTGTGCTCAGGTTTTGAAAAGTTTGAGGTCCATTTTAGTCAAATGTAGTCAATGGGATTTCCAGAGATATATATTCTATTTTTCTTATTGTACTGCACACTCCTTGAAGGCAGATAGTGTACTTAATATCACTGTCTTTCATAATACTGCCCTAGGTCTTTTTCATTTTTAAGAGACCGGGTCTCGCTATGTTGCCCATGCTGAACTCAAATGCCTGGGCTCAAGCAATCCTCCCACCTCAGCCTCTGGAGTAGCTGGGACTACAGGGGCATGCACCACCAGGCCTGGCTTTCTGGGTCTTTAAAGAGAAAATATTTGTTCAATTGAATAAAGGACAGGATTCTTGTCATCTACAACTCAACACAGCCTGAAAATATCCACATTGTAACCTGGACTTTAGACGATCTCTCTCCACTATCCTGCAGAACTCCATTTGTAACTACTTTTTGGCTATCTGTATGAGTCCTCAAGCATCTCAGACTTTATATGAATAAAACTCAACTTTCTTCCCATTCAAATCTGTTTATTTTCTTCTGTAAGAGAAAGATACCATTTGAGACTCCAGAATCTGCCTCCAACTCTCAACAAGACTCTGCAATTACTCTTGTATCCTTTCCATCCTCATTGCCCTGCCGTTATTACATAGGCCCTAGTTCAAGTCCTTGTTACTTGTTCCCATTGTTGCAATAACTTCTAATTCCAATGCCATTGTGTGATCCCATTTTAAACACTGCCAGAGCAATCTTCCAACAACGTAGCTCTAATCTAGTTTCATCCCCACTTTTACATGCTTCGGTGGCTTTCCCAGTGACTTGGCATGGAATACTTCCTCAGTTGCCATACACTCCAGCTTTGTACTCTGACCCAAACTTTCTCTGTTCACACAGTTTCCTTTTGTTTTCTTCATTCACCCATCCGCATCTCTGACTGCTTATCCAAGACTTCTCTGTGATAGCTGACCCTTAGTCTTTCTCTCCCCTATTCCTCCAGATTAGATCCTGTCTCCTTCCTGCAACCCCCACACAGCCTTTAGTTTATAATCTTTTGTATGGTGCTTAGCACCTTCTATCCCTAAGGACAACTTATGCATTTGAGATTTCCCCCACAGCATCTGGCAGGGTGCCTTGCATGCAGTGGACACTCAGTATTTGCTGAATTAAATTCCTTCCTATGGATCCCTTCTGATTTTTTTTTGAAGTGCCTCTAATACACATATCATTCTGGGGCTTTTGCCACTTTTAATGTCATTTTCTAAAGGAAAATCTTATCTATGACATTTTCCCTTAGAGAATTGTTTTGAGTAGGGTTTTTTTTTTTTTAAAGATATAGTAGGAATTTTTTTTTAAGCCTAAATATCAAATTCCTTTTCCTTTGGGGTGGGGGAAGGAATGAAGGGGGAACAACTTGCTCTTTCATATGAGTTGGTCATAGCATGTAAGAACCAATCTTGAAATAGTTTTTTTCTAAATGACTTATAATGTATTTCTAGAAATACTTTGTACTTAAAATGATAACAGTTTGTATCTTTTTGTCCATATAAAGATACTTTATAAATAAAAAAATTAGCATTGTAAATAATGTTAATATGTATTATATTTATACAAAATAAATTTAATATATTTTGTTGGTATGACTTTTTTCCCCTTCAAGACAGAGTCTTGCTGTGTCGCCCAGGCTGGAGTGTAATGGCGAGATCTCGGCTCACTGCAACCTTCACTTCCTGGGTTCAGGCAATTCTCCTGCCTCCGCCTCCTGAGGAGCTGGGATTACAGATGTGCACCACCATGCCTGGCTAATTTTTTGTCTCCCTCAGTCTCCCTAAGTGCTGGGATTACAGGCATGAGCTACTGAGCCTGGCCAGCATCATACATTTAAAGATGAACTTCGGCCAGAGTCACACATGTAAAGATGAACTTCGGCTGGGCACAGTGGCTCATGCCTGTAATCCCAGCACTTTGGGACCCCGAGGCAGGCGGATCACTTGAGGTGAGGAGTTCGAGACCAGCCTGGCCAACATGGTGAAACCCTGTCTCTACTAAAAATACAAAAAGCCAGACATTGTGGTGTGCACCTGTAATCCCAGCTACTCGGGAGGCTGAGGCACAAGAACCTCTTGAACCCAGGTGGCGGAGGTTGCAGTGAGCTGAGATCATGCCACTGCACTCTAGCCTGGGCAACAGAGTGAGCCTCTATCTCAAAAAGAAATAAAGATGAACTTCATTTACCTCTTTTCCTGAAGCATAATTAATGGAAACACTTCTTCACCTACAAATGATGTTCCCAAAATGGCTTCTACTTCCAAGTTTTAACAAGTCAACTTACAGTGACTTAAGTGAATTAATTGGGTGATAAGGGGTAACCACAAGCATCACTACAGGCATACATATTCTCCACGAAGAATAGTGAAGAGGTCTCAGATTGCCTGTATCCATTGAGCCTATAGTGCAATCGTGCACTGCGTAACAATATTTCAGTCAAAGGCCACATATATGATAATGGTGGCATAAGATTATAGTCCTCTATTTTTACTGCACTTCTTTTTCTTAAAGGACTTACTGTACTTTTTCTATGTTTATATATATAGTTAGATACACAAATACCTACCATTATGTTACAACTGCCTACAGTATTCAGTAACATGCTGTACAGGTTTGTCCTAGGTTTGTGACTTAAGAGCAACAGACTACATACAGCCTAGGTGTGTCTAGGCTAGACCGTCTAGGTTTGTGTGAGTACACTCTGTGATGAGCATAAAATGATGAAATTGCCTAAGGACTCATTTCTCAGAACATGTCCCTGACGTGACTATACTTTCATAATTTTCACCTTTGGGACCAGCTTATGGTATTGATAGGGGGCTTCCCTTAACACCAAACCAAATACACAACAAATAATGCTCAAAGGTAGAGGTTGAAAAAAAAAATAAAAATCTCACTCTCGCCCAGGCTGGAATGCAATGGTGCCAACACTGGACCAGACTCCTGGGCTCAAGCAATCCTCCCACCTCAGCCTCCTCAGTAACTAGGAATACAGGCCTGTACCCCCATGCCCTTTTTTTTTTTTTTTTTTTAAGAGATGGAGTTTCTCTATGTTGCCCAGGCTGGTCTCAAACTCCTGGCATCAAGCAAGTCTCCTACCTCAGCCTCCCAAAGCTCTGGGGGCAGAAGCCACTGTGCTCAGCAGAGGTGGATTTCTAATGAGGGATAAAGCATATTTTTACTTGTTAGGGATTGTTTCATGTCTTGATCTCTGTCCGTCTGCCGAGTTCCAAAGAGAAATAACAGAGATGTTCTCATTCCCAGCAAACGTTTGTTTTTCCTTCCTTGGATTTCTGCCCTGAGTTTGTGGCTGCTTTCCTACAGTGCCGATCTAAGCTAGGTAAAATAGAAATTTCATGGTAAAACAAAGGAGATTAAAAAAAAAAATAGAAATTTCAAGAATGCTTCAAAATCTAAAGCACAGAGTACTCTGCACACAGGGCATTTATTCCTGCCACACCTTGCTGCTACAGGTGGCCACTATTAGAATGCGATGTTCTATCCAATGTCTCTTCACTTCACAATTTGAAAACTTTTTTTGTAGAGGCAGGGTTTTGTTATCTTGCCCAAGTTAGTCTCCAACTGCTGGCCCAAAGTGATCTTGCCTTGGCCTCCCAGCAGCCACCTGCCTGGTTTTCGTTTCATACATCATTATTGATAGCAGGCATCGTCCTATGCGCTTGGTAATACATCACGGAGCAAAACAGACAATAAAACGGCCTTTGAGGATTTCATATATATATATACACACACACACACACTATATATAGAGGATATGGAAAAAATATATATATAGAGAGAGAGAGACTCATTCTGTCACCCAGGCTGGAGTGCAGTGGTGTGATCTTGGCTCACTGCCGTCTCGACTCAGGTGATCCTCCCATCTCAGCCTCCAAGTAATTGGGACGACAGGCACGCGCCAGGACCGGCTAATTTTTTTGCAGAGGTGGGGTTTCGCCATGTTGGCCAGGCTGGTCCCTAACAACTGGGCTCAAGTGATCCGTCCGCCTCGGCCTCCCAACTTGCTGGGATTACAAGCGTGAGCTACCGTGCCCAGTCTCTAGTGATTACATTCTTGCCCTGTTTAGCCATTATGTCTCTCTACCCACAACAGTTTATAATGAAACTTTGCCTTACCATTTGCATGAGTCGGCCTCAGCTTGTCATTATATATAAAGTTTAAATATGATTGGACTCTATCCAGGGCCCAGTTTTCCAGAAATTAGAAACAGATATGCCTAACACCCAGACGGTTATTACTCAAATCTGAAACGTTGACTGAAAACTTCCCCTAATGCCCACCTTTGGCAAACAGTGCTTAAACCTTTGCACGTGGCTGCAAAAAGTACCTGGCTGGGGACGCGTAGCTCTGGCGGGGCACTCTGCCTCCAAGCCAAAAGGGGGCAGTGGACTCACAGAGCCGCTGCTCGGCCCTCTGATCCCTCCACCCCACCCTGGGAACGTCACGACCTCCTCTCGCCGCTTCTCCCCGTCGCTAATGCGCAGGCGCTGGCGTGATAGCGCGCCGCCGAGCCAAGAAAGGGGTCACGAACTCTGACCCTCCCAAATACCCAAACACAGAAAGCTCCCTCCGCCGTGAATCTCGATCCCCCCTCCCGTGGGCTTCCTTCAACCTCTCTTTCCGGAGCGCCCCCCAATCCAGCAGTGGCAACCGCGGGACTGTCGCGTCGGCGCCCGACGCCGGAGTCAGCGGGGCGCAAAAGCGCCGGTAAGAAGCGCTGGGTGGGGACACCAGCGACCGCGTCGGGGGCGGGGGACGGGGGGTGCCCTTCACCCCAACGGCCAACGGACGCGCTCCCAGGGCATCCCCCGGCCTGCGCCCTGCGGCCAGCGGGGCCGTTCAGTTTGGGCGCGCCGCTTTGGGCTGCTGGAGTTGGCCTGGGAGCGCGGAGCGGCGGCGCCGAATGCTCTGGGTCCCCGGAGAGGCGGGGCGGCGGGACGCGGGGCCGGACGCCGAGCGGCTCGGAGCACACAACTGCTTCTCCCAGTGCGCTCATCGCAGCGCCTCTGACCTTTAACCTGCAGGGAAAGCTTCCGCGGTGCCGCAGTTTCCCCCGCCCCGGGGAGCCGCGCGCAGCGCCGGGGCCTCGAAGGCGCACGGCTAACGCCGGAACGAGTGAGTCCCGGGAGAGGCCGACCCTCGGCTAGTGGCCGCAGGTCCCGGCCTGCATCCCCTGCCTAACTCTCATGCTTTCACGGGACGGACAGAATGACGCCCTCCACTTTCACTTTTCTCTCACGACAAATCGGGCCAGGGTCGTCGCTGCCTGTGGACCTGGATCTTTTCAGAAGATACGGAACGGCCCCGGGGTCCTCACTGCAGGGGGCATGTCCAAGCTTCCGATAGATAGCTCTTTTGTTAAGAAATTCTTCTTTCAGCTCGTGCAGATTCCATTTTTGTGCAGTATGAATGTTGCCAAGTTGTCCCATAATCTTCAGTAAGTAGGTCAGTGGGCGGATCACAAGGTCAGGAGATCGAGACCATGGTGAAACCCCGTCTCTACTAAAAATACAAAAAAAAATGAGCTGGGCGCGGTGGCGGGCGCCTGTAGTAGTTCCAGCTATTCGGGAGGCCTGAGGCAGGGAATGACGTGAACCCAAGGAGCCCGGAGCTTGCAGGAGCCCAGGATCGAGGGCCACTGCA